GTACAGCGCTCCATAGGAGATAGGAGAAAGGGCGCAACTCTAAGCGTCACGCTACTTTTCCCCCAGTCTCAGCGGTCCAAAATAAAAAGATATAGTGTCCGTCTCCAGGTATAGTTCCTGTCGTCAAAGGGCGGATGCTAACTATACAAAATAGAACAAGGGTAGTTATCCAATAACTATCCTAGAAATGATCATGTGATGTACTAGATCGTAATAAACTAACAAAGGAATCTTTCTTACAAACAGTTTTCGAAAACTGACAGAACATGCATAAACATTATAAAGTGAAATACGTCATCATTCAAATATTTTACATTTAAATGTTTCTGCAGTTATTTGTTCAGAAATATGTAACACACATGTTCGTAATGGCTGCTTGCTCAGTGCTAATGCACTGGTGCAGCTTACGTGATATGACTTTTTGAAGACTGCACATAACATGTCAAATAATCTGAGAATAACTCACGTTTATCTTTATTCTTGCTATATAACGAAAAAATACCGACGTATCAACTTGATAGGTTCAGCACTCATCGAATATAATTGAGACATTCCAGATTAACCCGCCGAAACGCGGAAACCAGCCTCAATGCATAACACATAACAAACCATTTACTGTTAAACACGTGATCGCATTCCCCTTCAGCCAACAAAAGAAAATGTGTATGATAATATAACAGATAAATTCAATATCTTTTCGAAACAGTCAATATTTCTTTAATTCTAACCTACCTACCTTAAAACTGTTAATCTGTTCAAAACGATATATAACTAACCATAGTCACTTTAACTGTTCAAGTTGTCTTTATCTTTACAGTCGTTTGATTTCATTTCCTTTATCATGTTTTATTTACTTTTCATTGGCCGTTAACAATCAGATACCTAACTAACTAACATGTTTTTGAGTCATATAAAACCGAACAGCACTAAAATAGACGCTCTCAAAAAGAACACATTCATAAAAATAAACGGTTTAAAGGGTGAAACGTGCAAATACAATCTACAGCTAACGAATTGGTTATGTTATTCATTCCGGCAAAGATCAATTAATTGTACAAATTCATATACTTATGACAGAAACGGTATCAAACAACTCAATGTTGTCAGGCGTTTGTTTAAAATTGGCAAATTCACTCCTAAAAAGTGCCAATAAAAAGAGATCATCCCATAGGAATATAGCTGGTCTTTCTTATGTGAGCAATTATAATGTAGGTATACCATATGTCCAGCCGCGAGAGGTAAAAACACGATTGAAAAAATATACGTTTATCGTCAGAGACTTGTTGACCACTGCAGAACGAGATCAATTGCAAACAAGCCGAGCATTTGCCATATTTTGGATTGCATCATATTTTAGAACGTTTCGTTACTCCCTGGGTGTCGCTCACACATAGTAAAATTGGACTCCGTGTTCACCACCTTGTGAATGATACGAAAGAGATAAGTTTGATCCTTTGATGTTCATCAAACGAACCCGCAGCTGTGCGAAATCGCTTCTCTGTATTCCTTAAACGATAGGTATCAGCATAACAATTGGCAAGAAGTGGGTTTTTTTTACCAGAGACCAATCAAATAGATAGCCAAGTGCCTGCAATTGTACAATGGTTTCAGAGAACGTAAGCGATCATAACCCCGGAGTATTGAGGATGATTTTTGAATGATAAAGATTTACACGTAGGGTGACGTCGTGCTATACATAGTATACTTAATCCCTGACCGTCAGTTATTCTGTCCTGTAAAAAGATGCCAATATTTTACTGTGGAAACAAACGTTTTTGATGAATGTGCTTTGTAACGGCAAAATGAAGACACATGGCAGCCAGTGCTTGTATAACATCATCATTTTCTTAGACAGGAAAGTGGGCCTTTACATCTCTTCCACTCTATTTGTCTTTTTTCTGTCACCATTTTTTTTGACAAAGAGTCCTAACTAGACCAACGAGAAAATGCCTAATTCAACTAGAAACTGCGGCAATATTCGGAGGTCTCAGGGCCGGTACATATACTATCATTCTTAACCATGTCCTGACATTTTGAAAGCAGAACGCTATTAGATATCTTGGGTTAGAAGTTAGAACAATAAGACATGTATACTGTAATATGAAATGATGTTGTTGTTATTATCAAAACTAGAAGACGGTTCATTTAAACAATAACTGGTTGTCTGGCTGTAATTATATCAACAATAATTACATCCAGACAACCAGGTATTTTTTATATTTACATATTTTTCTTTTTTAAGACATACATGTATTCCTACAAAAACCATTTGTCCTGCCTCAAAATGCATTTCAGGCGGCCATTTTGTTTGTTTACATATTCCTAGACTTGAAACAGGCAGTTGTAATTATAACCTATATAATTACACTTGCCCTCTAACACTGTTGTAATGGGACGGCGCGGGGGCAAATGTAAATATAAGATAATACAATATACGAAAAGATAAACCAAATGACAGCAACCCTACTAAATGATATTGACTACGCTACCAAAGCGTAAATGATGTTCTATGTGTATATGTTTCATTGATTAGTTTGTTGATTTATGTTAATGTGCCGGGGTTCACCTTTCTGAACAATATGTGCGAATATTGAATCATTCGCAACGCATATTACAGCATTTTTAAGTAAGCTGATATACCAACATGACAAATACAAGTGACACTGTTTTTTCTTTGCCTGGTCGTTCTTAGTCTGATACATAATCATATATGCCTGATATCTACAGCAAGTCAGTGGAAGTTACGGTCCGAGAAAGTTAGTTAGTTTTTGCATTCTAACCTTCACATAGATACAGACAAGGTCATACGTATATGGCTACTTATGTCTTTTTAAACAGTTTTGAGCTAGTTCAAAATTGTACAGGCACCTACTTTTTCGGAAGTATGTTGGGACTTCTTACAAAATGTTCTATTGTTTGCTGAAGGTAAAACAAATAGCCACACTTCTAATTCTATTAAATGTCAACGCCGCTTTGAAGCTAACTAGACTTTAAAAATCCGGGACCTTGTTTATACATTGTTAAGTGTAGATAGGATAGGTTACGTTTCTACTGGTATGTTATGTAAACAATCCTGTCTTTATAAAACTTATTTTTCTTATAGTTGGATTTTAATGATAAAATAATTGTGTTTTGTTTTTGTTGTACTGCTTGAGTATTTTATTCAAATTGATTTTTGTTTGTTAGCATCACCGATGGTGCTGGCTCTATTACCGAATGTTAAAGGTGCAGTGTAATGGGTGTGTCCTAGGTCTATCTTTATAATGGTCAGACATACTCGGTCAAGGCTTCTACACATATCAGCGATGAAGTTGAATGAACAGGTATTATTAAATAATAAAGAGGTTATAAGGTACACATTATGTTGCAGTGTAAGTGCTCTGACTGTGGTAAACATAGTTGTGGTAGCAAAATTGTCACCACATTTTAGTGTGACATTAACTGGGCAAACCAGCTGCTGTCGTCATTTGACTTCACTGTTTGAAGTGAGTAAACCTAGGGCTTGGCAATACGGGAAGCCCGTCTCTCTGAGACTAGTAAAACACTGTTGGTCCGACTGACTTCCTAAATTTTGATACATTGTGTTACTTTCCACGTTGAAAAATATTGGGCCAGTAGAGTTTGTACAAGGACTTGTAAAAAAAAGAAAGTACTCGCCCGACTGACCAGTGCTTCTTTAAAACCTAACTGAAATAAACGCAAAAATCAACAGTTAACACAGTCATCTTCACTGATGCAACTTCATGTAACTGTGAATATTCTTTCTAGGATTGATTAACGTTTTTTTGCAAACTCCATACACAAACACACTGCTTGTTGTGGTTTTTGTTTGTTTGTTATTTTTAGAAAATCAGATCCGATGTACATCCTCGTTTCTGTTTGAGAAGTTGTATTTCTGTTTACATTCCCTTTACAAAACGATAACAGCTCACTAATATCTGATAATGTCTTACTTTAGTAAGAGTTATGGCTCTTTATACGTTTGTTAAGATATATGTGGCAATGTATTTCTCATATTGTTAGACTCATTAAGTCTATGTCTTGTCATTTAATGGTTTGTTGGAGCAATACCTATATCTCAAATATGAATAACAATCTGCGCGTATCTATGAACTTTGTAGGAACATTACGATTTCTAGCTTTACAATGATATTTACTTTCTTTTTTAATTGTTGTCCCGTCCGGTGTGACATCATTGCAAGTCCCTGCAGATAAGGCGGAGAAATTGTACCAGCTGCCCCAATTGCAGGATCGTAATAAGCGACTTACTTTGGGATTTTATCTTTTCTCTAAACAACTTTCTTCTTCCTAATGTCTCCCTTGACAATACCTCACTTTTGGCCTTTATTTGAGCGGTCGACCCTGTTAGGAAGGCTTTGGGTTCTGTCCCCTGGCCGAGATATACCAAAGTCTGTAAAGATGGTAGTTTCTACTCCTGCTTAACACTCAGCAATTTAGGAGTGGGACGACTGGTTCGCCCGTTGTCAGTATAATTTGACCGGGTGGGGTGTCCTGCTGGGTGTCTTCGGCAGTATGTTTCAGTTTCCGCGTTATCATAAGGAGACAAACACGAACATACAGCAGCCTCCCAAAACACACACGCATACACTACACGCAAGCATCTTGCACGCAGTGGAGGCCGTCCTTAAATGACTACAGCTGTTGATAGGACTTTAAACAATACTAAGCCTAGCGAAACTAAACAAATAAATACACAATTTTATAATGAATTATTACTATGTACATTCATTCACTCTATTGTTAATTGCCATTCAAATCTATATATACGGTATAGATTACAAATGGTTCTGACTTTTAACTATACAAAGGCAGTTTGTGGGTGTCTGATTGCATGGTAGAAACAGAACTGATAAATAAACAAGTGTCCTTACAATCGTATTACTGTTCCCGCGGAATTACACTATAATACATGTATATCCACTGCATTTGAAATGTCTAATGTGTTGAAAGTGCATCAGAAATAAAAACGAACATTAGAATAAATATAAATAAATAATTTAAAACTTTATTACCCATTCAACTCCAAAATGCATCATATATACAAACAATAAATGAACAATATTTGATACAATGTAGAAAGAGATGAAAACGGTATACGAAACCCCATACGGACTATCACGTTCTCACAACCATACACATAATCCTGTAAGGATAACTGTTGTTCACACATTGACTTATTCTTTATCAAGCATCAACACATGCACATGTATGTACACGACTACTTAAACACGTGTATGGATTACACATACATTCTCTCCAATCGCATGCAGTGTTTCTCCTAGTAAAAACAGAGGACAAACAGGCATCGAGTAAAGTTGGAAGTTTTCATACAAAATCATTTAATCTTCAGTTTGTGAAAGTGATATATATGTGTATGGAGTTTGATTAGGGATATGATGCTGATATATACAGGGGACTCATAAATACTACAGTCTTACAAATCTGTGGATATGCAAAATGTCATCGCCGAAACCACAACGAGCTATGTACATAAACTTATCAATAATGACACAAATATATAAATCCGAAATGATTTAGATAAACTGATTGAAAAAATCGTATGCTCTTATTTTTATTGTTAATGGTGTGTCGCTATGCCGAATGTCATCATTAATCATGGAACTGTGTATCATTAAAACAAATGTTTCTGTAATTGTATAAAATAGAAAAAAATACTATTTTGGATAAACGAGACTGATGTTTACAATTTCATGTAAATGTTAGTTATTTAAGCATCCTCAATTAACTTTTGCTGAGTGTATCAAGACTTATTACATCACAGATGCAGTACAATCTTAAATGCGCTGTAATTATTTGACGACAGGAGATAGTTCTTTCTACATAATGTAAATAAATACATTCCATGTTGTTTAAATAATTGTTTATGTCATAAAATGAGTCTTTATACATATTTAAACGTGCAAAATGTGCTCAAATACAAAGTGAGATCTGTTTCAGAATCAACATGCAATGATTCACTTGTTTTAATAAACAATACAAGGTGGGGTTCCTCCAAACGGTCATTTTCAGTTAGCTGGCCTCGAATTCTTTGAAATAAATCTTTTTTTATTCCGATTCTTTTCCTTTACTTACAATGTACCACGAAAGTGTGTTTATCGTGAACTAGAAAAATACAAAGTATTATTTCTGTGTTAATTCGTCCCATTTAATCCGAAACCGAACATTCTTTATATAGTTATTGATTCAGTTACTTAACATTCACGTTTAATACAAACATCAATGAAATATATATCAATTTAGAGCACATTGCGTGTTAATGCGAACTATGAATAATTAACCATTTGAAAATATCCTTTGCTTATAAACATATACAGGAAGAAAGTTTAGTTACATGTTTATGCTTCTTACTGCACGTCACACCAAATTATTTAATATTTTATCACTTTAAAGACATGATACATGTTATTAATCAATCTTAATATAGCCTTTATCTTTTAAAATTGATGACAGTACAATTAGCACCAACAAGGACAAACATAGTGTTGGGTTTATTTGAAAAGTTAAACTCGAAAAAACTTACTATAAAAGAACGAATTACTTTTTTAAATAAGAATTTTGTCAATTTTGTTTACAAATGTATCCACGTCTTACTTATGCTTATACTTTCAATTTATGCACCTCACCATTGACATATTAAAATGTGCTTAATAGGTCATTGCAGTTTCACTCAAAGTCGTAAGAAGAACTTTTGACTATAATTGTGCTAAATTTGTTGTTATGAAATTTTGCATTATTATCAACTTTTTTTATGAGCATTTATTGACATTTCCCAAGTAAAAGTCAATATATATCGACCGATGTTCATTAATGTATATAATCAGTAGCAAAATGATGATTATGTTGCGAATTACGCGTACTATGACCATACGGTAATAATTTGGGGAGGCCGAATGAGTAGCTTATATCCTTGACATGGTCTCTTATTATCTGAAACCCCACCTGTTAAAAATGTAATACACAAATTAATACCATTCAAACCATAATATAACCGGTCACCAAACATGAGGCAATGGACTTTTTTTTGTATCCTTATAAGGTATGTTTATGGGTTTTTTTTATCTATGAATAGAGTAGTTGAATATATATCACTTTTCTTTTTGACTTCCAATAAATTTGGTTGAAATATGTATAATCTCTTACATTGGAAACCTGGATTTTATCCCACTTGAAAAGATATTTGAATTATATGCGCCGACGTTTATTATACTACACATACTAAATATAGTGTCATTTAATAAGTTTTACGACGAAATAAACAGTTTTGTGTATTCAGTCTGAAATTCTATAGACAGGTATCGTTAAATATTGAATGGAGATTATTGTTAATATAAACCAATAACAATATCTTTGAATTTTTTAACATACAATAGCGATTATCATCGGTCATCATGAAGTAAACCAATTTCATATTTTGTAACAAATATTTTACATTGAAAGTGAATTAAATATGATTTATGAAAAAGTAGAGAAAACGTATCACAAGTAAAGTTTGCCAAACAATACGCTATCACAAAGTCTAACTCACAACACTTTAAGTATGAAACAACAAAACAACAAAACAACATGTCACAAACCTTTGCTAACAACCCGGATTAATTTATCACGATTTTGCTTAGAGTAAGGAGCGTATAGCGTGTTGTAAATTATTCAGTTTTGGAGACTACTTTCTTTATAGATGGTACATTTCCACGTCAAATGAATATTCAGATATCAAATTTTGCGTAAAGGAATAATACCATCCAAATGTACCTTATGTATATATGTGTACGGTTACTTAAATGTGCAACCGACTTCTCTCGAGAAAATATATGGGTAATACATTTGTTTTAGCTTATAACAGATGGTGTATGTATTTTATCCAGAAGAAGACAAAATCACATTTATAGCGTCATTATTAACAATAAGTTTATCTTTAAAAAAGAATATATATTTCAAACAACCTACGATTTGCAATACCTTGATAATCTTAAATATATTGTCTGTCTTAAACATAAAAACAATAAGATATCGATTTGTTATAGAAAAAATACCATAGTAAGTACCTTTCATGTATCACAAAGAATGACAATACTGATAATTAATGCTAATAAATAATATCACTTGTTTGCGCAATTAAATAATTATAAATAATGCTTAAAACACTAACTTCTGTAAAGTAATTAATCTAAGGTATATAACAAACAAATAACTAACTATCACAAACACCAGAAAACGTAATATAATTGACACAAATATCACAAAGAACATCGACGATCTCTAAACCTCTAAATGTATTAGAGCAATTCTTACATTCTGTCGATTTGTTTGTTAATACTTGCATTTTGGTCTTTGTTGTACGAGTTCTTAAAATATTAATATCGGGTTTTTTAAATATAGGTCGTCATTTTTTGTTTATTATTATTTTAAGCTCCCTTCGCGTGGTGTAATACCACTGATTAAAGCCAAGGTTTACGCTAACCAGTGGCAAATAGTTCTTTGTGTATACTTTTACATGTACTTATTTATCTACAACCAAACTATTTCCCTTTTTTTTCATAAACCGAATGAGACACAAAAACAACACGAAATGAGTCAAGAACAAATTCTGAAATTAATGTTTGCTTTTTAGAATGTTTTATACCTGTGGACTTTAATCAATAAGAATAGCCATGATGTTGAATAGGTATATTAGGTCCGGAAAATAGCGGGAACCCGTTTTTAAATCTTCCAAACAACTTCTTCTTATTTATATGCTCATATTCATGCTCAAATATTAAAATTTGAGTACTTTTAACGCTTTGGTCACTAATCTGTTAACTGAAAGTTGTTACTATTTATTTCAACAACAAACTACAATGACAGGAAACAAAATATTACGTAAAACACCAACAATATCGACTGAAGGTATATCAGACGTTGTCCAAGTCCTCATTGTGATTGTTTAAGAGAGAGTTATGTCCCTTTCAATGTAGCCTTAGCTGGCAACAAATGAAATTTCGAAAATGAAAATGAATAATGAAAGATATATGTTTCGATACGATAATATATATTTTGCATGCAGCTATACACATCTTTAATCGATTGTATATTTATCAAATTTGCATATTTGATATGTGAAATTGTGATTAATTGATAATGCTAATTACACGACTAAGTTTCCACAAGGTAACATTCACTCTGACGCACGTGGTAGCCTCACAACATGGAATGATAAAGGAACTGCCTACGACCTCTTTGGCATAGAGTTTGGTAAGATAACCCCATTCAACGGGTATCGCGAGGGCTTAGGGCTCTGTTGTAGAGAGCTTCATTAAGGTAAATAAAAAAATCATCGATATTTTATAATTGTAAAAACTACAAATAAAGTAGTAACGTTTTAGTATTTTTCAAAATATCACCAACAAAGAGAAAGATATTACAACTGTTTTCTTCGGGGCTTTTCCTGTATTCCCGAAACCATTATCATGCTCTAATTTGGATTGTTGTACCGTGTATGAATTGTTCAAGCTATAAGCATGCTTTTAGTAACTTTGAGAGGGTTACTTGAACTCAGTGTTCATTATTTACCTTTTAACAGTGCATTATTTCAGCAGGTAACACACATTTGAGGACAGAACCATGCCTTGGCATGATAATGGTTTTTTTTATATAGGGGTCCTGATTTTTTTAAAATATATACTAATAAATATTTCCACTCTTCAGGATTAATTTCCATAATTGATTATCTATATGTAAGAACACTACATCTACACGTTTTTATATTTCGTTTTCATATTTCAGGTTTGATGTTTAAACGCCTAGTCAAGACTAAGAGTATACCTCTGATAGAATCGGTCATATTTAGCCACTATTAAATAAGTACAAAGTGATGTTATCAAATGAAATTGTAAAAAGAATGTTTTTCTTTTTCCCTTTAAACATAACTTTAAAACCAATGTACAAATGTTATTTGCACATACTTGAATAGCATATCCATGCTTTGTACAAGAGTGCACGTACATTTGAAAACGCATTTATTAACATTAACACATCATCTTAAAAAGTTGTTAGTTGCAAAATTACTGAAAGGACATAGGTATTAAAATGTGAAATAGAAAAAGATATACCATAGCTTTAACTGATATGGACAAAAGTTAGATTTGGATTAAAAAGATTCCAAAGCAACTATATATCTTGATCTCCTTCGAATGACAGATGCTACAACATGCGGTCCAAAATGGTCAGCATTTCCTGAACCACGCATGGCATTTTTCTGAGTAAAAATGGATTTGAAAATAGATTCGGACTTTTTACTTTTTCACCATTATGTAAACATAGGATACAGACGTTTATAATAATAAATAGACGAAACAAAATATTTTTGTGGGGCAAAAACATTATGTCGGTCTGCACGTTATCAATTTTGTTTGATAAATCAGAAATGAATGAATTTACTGAACACAGTCTTTGGTCAAGCTGATTACAAATTATATGGACAGAGTCCGCGACATTCCTCAGCTCTCTGAAAGGACATAATAATTCAGAACGTCTTAATAATATTTCATCAAAACAAGAAGGCGCAAGTTCCGCTCTTCGTTGCTTTATTTTTGGCATTATTCCATCGAGTTTCTGCAGTAAAATTTTGGTCCATTGTTACGTCGTTCATCCTCCATTAGATCACCACACAGACACATGATAGAGTATCGTATCATTTTCACAAATACTTAATGGTTCATAGGCCATTGGTATGATGTTGGTGATCATATTCCGGAATATACCGGAATACAACGGAATATACTGGTACATGATTAAACATGAGGAAGTATACCAAAACACTTATGGAAAGTTTCCCACACGTGTGTTGTACGGATTTCATGCAATGAATTGCCTATATTTGACACTAGCATATGCAATTATATACAAAATGGGTACAGTGTATCTAGGTCTGATGTTTCCATGACTCATTCACAGAATGTGAATGTATTATTTCTATTTCATTTAACTTTTTAATTCGATTTGCTAGATATCGCTTTTAAGTCTTCACAATTGTTACAAGTACTATTTGACTTCTAATCATTATTTTAAACCAGAAGCGTTAAATCGTCACTAAACGGGTGGTTATACGGATTGCGTCTCCCACGCGTTTTAAAACCTCAGGCCTCAACACACTGATCTAAACGCTAAAATGATTTAATGATTTTTCGGTCAACGGAGAGTCGCCATATTGGCATGAGAGGGATCTACGCAATACTCCAAGTCCGTACTGCTCTATGCGTCTGTAACCCACACTATTTGCGGCATTATATATACGGACGGGCTCATTAGTTTTGGGTAAATATTAGGACTTGTGTCAAAGGTATCGGGCTACTTCGTTTTCAACAGGAATATGCACTTGCCACTTGTATTATTTTGATATTGCGTAAAACTTGCGGGTATTTTAGGTCCTATTTGGGCGGCTAACAAAGCGTTTGAAACGGAGCTCTTCCTAACCAAATGATCAACCTACATACTGATAAGAACATCCGTAACTGAACAGTCATATACCAGTGTTCGAAATTTTATCTTACCAATCATCTTGATACGAGTCAGAAAATGCGTATCGAATAACAATATCTAACTTTTGGCCGGAAATGTCTTTGCTTCTCAAATGGTCTTTAGAATATCTTCACGAAAAGAATGGTCTTATCTATCACTCGGCCGGACACAGAGTGTAAAATAATCCAATTCAGAAAAATAGGTGAACCTATTCAGTCTTTTTTCAGAACACATTTTAACATGGCCGTTTCAAATAGGCAGTGGTAGCGAACGTTTCTAATTAATCACTAGTGACGAAACATGAGGGTTACGCTATCCTTTTGTTGCCGTGATATTCTGATACTTCACTTAACGAATGTGTATTGTTTCTTTGACTGAAGACCATAATGAGGACGGTATCGACCTTAATGGTTGAAAAAAGGCATTGGTAGGTGTGCTGGTATTCCACTTGCTTCATTATCAGGAACGTATTCAGTTCATATTTTCAAGATCTGCAAGAAATGTAAACTATTTTTCTGATATGAATCAACGGAGATCACACAATGGAACGAAGTGATACATGAACTTGAAGATATGTTGTCTTTGTCCACAGGAGTTTACATAATAAAGTGTCCTTTTGGCTTAATTGACGAATAATTATTCCATAAGTTTCCGCTTTTAAAGTGCAATTCTTTTTGCTGAATATTACATTGGAGTTGTGCCCCTTTGGGCTCGAGTTACGTCCCTTTATACTGTGCCATAATCCCTCTCATGCACGACGTGCGACCCTCCGTTACATAGTCATACGTCTTCTCCTTCTGTCTCATGTCCGTTCAAATTAGAGCGTATTTGTATAGACTTCTTACTCCGGTACATATCCCATAGTCCAGCTACAATTTCCGCCACAACTATGTCACTGGAGTTTTTACCTATCAACCGTAATGTAAATACGCCATCATGTCTTAAATACTCCAGCACGAAACGTCCAGCAAGCTTCCGATCAGGACCGGTACCAAGTCTGTCCATCAGTTTCAAAAACTTTCTGACATATTGAATTCGTGTTGTTGGAAACATCATATGCCAAATCCAATTTGCAAAACTGTAACATGTAACTATAGCTACAAATACTAACCAAAACCACATGAAAATGTAGATTTTCTCATTAAACAGATTGATAGGTAGCACACACTGGACGGTATATTGCTGAACATTTGTTATTTGGCGGATTTGAAAGTCACATAACGTGACTCTTGGAAAACGATGTGAAGCAGACCACTCCTTACCATCAATGAGTTCCTCCATTACTTGAAATCCATACACATGATAATCCGTCCCCAAGAAAGAATTGAGCATGAATAATTGACCGATACAATTGGCAATATATAAGGCCTTTATAAGGAGATATATAGCAACAAGGTAATTTCCATACCTCCTGCCACATATAAGGGATAATTTGGCAGACAGGATATGACGTAACGTCACACAGCACCACCCACGTGTGTCCCTTTGATTATCTAAGCACCTATCCATATGCCGGACCAAATATTTAATAGTCCGTATTCGGCTGTCTGGACTTTCATATTGGGCATCCCCAGCCAAACTTACAATCCTGTCGACGTTTATCCCAGAATTCCCATTCATCAGCCGCCATATAATGCAAGGACAATAAAACAATAAAGCTTGCACGAGAAGCATCACCGGAACCCACTGGTAATAATTCAATTCCTTCTCCTTGCGCATGTGCAGTTGCTCTATGGGTGGTACGATGTCCTTCATAGGGATATAGTAGGTATTGGAGATCCAACAGATATTGTTTGTGTAGTCTACATGGGTGCCCGGGAACTGAGCCGGACACCAACACCTAATGGGATCTCCCACATACTGCCGGGCACTAACCACTACCGTAAAGATGATGAAAATCCCTGTGGTGTAGAAGTGGTTGACGCGATCCACAATATCGTCATCGTTACGTACCTTGACGTTAGCTACCCGACCGACCGAGCCAATGATACTGTCCATCCTGAAATGACAAAAAACATATGGGAAATGAATGGAAGTGCTATGTTTACAGCAATATAAACATCAAATAACTCAACTAAAAGTTAAACCTGTCCATGAAAAAACTTACATAATCGCGAGAGAAACCTTATGAAACATGATCGTGATACACAACACATCCTAAAATGACTACATCTATATATGTTAATAGGACGCTAAACAGGCAAAAAGCAATGCAAACAAAACATAATGTTTAGTGAAGAAACAATACGGAATTGTTGATTTAGTTCTAAAAGAGGTGCCTTGGACATACCTTCATAACACACATTTACATTTTACGAAAGGTTTGGTTTGGTTTGGTTTAGTATTGATTTTACGTCCTATTAACAGCTACATTGTATAGTCATTTGAGGACGGCCTCCCCTGTGTGCAAGATGCTTGCGTGTAGTGCATGCATGTGTGTTTTTGGAGGCCGCGATATGTTCGTATTTGTCTCCTTGTGATAACGCGAAACTCATGTCGACTTTATAGTGCTACCTCACTGAAACATACTGCCGAAGACACCTTATTGTCATGTCTATGGTCAACCATTTACGGTTAAACATTTAATGATTTTTCATAACCGTTTCTGTGCCATTGATATATATAATCATTTACACTCAACTGATATGAACAGTAACGTTATGGGTGCAATTTGGTATCTGTTTCACCTTTTCAGCTTTCAGTGTAATATTTTACAGTGTATATTTTGCCCTAAATGCCGTTAATTTAACTATTTTGTAACAAGACAAACAATTACATTTGTTGACCCGGGGAAATCTAATGATGATTGTATTTACACTAAAATGTGTACACTCTTGACGTGTGTCGAAGATGATGTATCGAATACATTATGTCGTGCGAGTAATTTATCACTTCAAGCATAAAGGTGTTTTAGTGACGAATCTTCGTCATACACGTAATAACCTATTCTTAAGGGTCCTAAGCACCTAATATTCTTAAACAGAAATATGAATCTTACAGATCAATATTGATAAACGCACTTAGCCTTCCCTTCAAGCCAAACAGCTACAAGTCATCACAGCAAACTGCTAGAAGTACAAACCCTTGGATCACACATGTTACATTGATTGCTGTTTGCAAACAAACAGTATCGTAATTTTATTAAAACAAATTTCTCCAATGAAGATTTCAGGTTTTCAACGAAACATTGATAGCAATAACCTTAATATAGATTTGCGGTGTACCTGTAATTGGTATAGTTCCTATCTAGTCTTGCACTGCCGGAACACATGTAGGTACCAATACAGCAACACATGATGAATAGCTTTTCACAACAAGGAATGAGAAATAATCAAAAATGGTAAAACGGTGGTTAACGCTGCCGAGACACGTGGGAGGAACAGAATACCGTGGCTGGCCTATGATTCATACACTAACGCGCAAAGAGAGAGAAAGCACGTGCACTAAATTGGTTATATTTTAGTAAATAAACATTGTGCAGTCTAGACCTTGTATTTGATCAAAGAAGCCTTGCCAATAATTCGTGTACGTATGATGTTATGCAACATTAACTTAACTTCCTTGCTTTTTGACCACCTAAGAGAATAGATTATTTTTTCTATACAGCGAAATGATTATTTAGTGGCCTGGATGTTTAGGTAGTATGTTATTAAGTAAATCATACACATCGCTGTACGTTTTGTTGGTATATGTAGTTGATATTCTACTATTTCTTTAAACAGAGATAATGATGCAATTTGTCATCAACACATGGTATACATTGTAGCTTTATTTGTTTCAATTAAACTTATTAACCTTGTAACAAAATCTTCAAGAAACCCAATTTATTCCAAAACACGCATACCTAATATAATTAACACACATTCAAGAGGTACATCACATTTCATGGGTTTTTTTCGTTGTCAATTAATGTACAACAAAAGATGTTCGCTATGAAAATTGAAACCATGAACATATATATTTTCTATGGGCTGCCATTGGAAACAATAAAAAGCTGCCAACTTATGCGTACTAAAAAAGGGCCTAGCGTTCAAAACCATGTAAGCTTAACAATGATTTTAATAAGATAGCATTCAAAAGTCGGCATCAGATCCGCGCTATCACAAAGACGTAAATGCACCAACATTCCCTTCCTACAGCACACATACATTACACATATGGAAGAACGCCCGGACATGACCTTAGTTGTTGATAGGATGATAAGCCCTATACCATCACACAGCTTAACGAAATGTTCAATATATTTTGGAAAATGTTCAAAGTGATACATACATCCGCGTAACATCGGCGACTCCGAGCTCATTCAACATACCTGTTGTGAGCCCCGATGTTACAACAAACAAGTACGTTTCAATATTTATATTTCCCCGTTGTACAGCCTTTTAATCCACCTACCGACTCATATATTGTTAAAGAAAGCATATTACAAAGAACTGTTAGACATGAATGTTTTAAAACTCACACATATTGTTTAATTTCTTGTTTTCATATGAACATTTCGTACGGCTATAACTCATTAACGTGAAGCTTAACAATTTCTTAAATGACGACCTATACATCCAACAAGTCCCACCCTATACTTCTGTATACAAAAAGAAAATTGTGTACTGTGACATTTTGTCTATTCCTTATGACAACATTGGTTCTTTATGTTGGTCAGTATTGAAATGTTTCACTATATGTACATGTTCATATTATCACTAGATACCTCTTCAGTACGAACTCATCAATATTGAATACAGACTAAAGGCAGTAGCGTGTAAACGGTACCTGCAGACTGACTTACTGGCGGCGCCTAAGTGTACAAAGCTCCCTAGCAATTATAGGCAGGGTATATAGACGCATTCGTACAACAGCAGTGTTACAATTGCAGTTTAACACGTCACGTGCACAGAGCGCATGCTCGCTAAAGGTTCGTGTAAATGTTCAGTGTATATTTCCGCATAACGACCGATATTATCGTCTGATTTTAACCTTTGATCAGTTGACTTTTCTTTATGTATTTAGTGTCACTTTGTTGTATTGTTGTTGAACTATTGAGAAACCTGCAAACAACGGAACAAATATATTTCGAAAATGTGTGAAACAAACTTCATATACCTGCCATTGTACAATTGCAAATATGCTAGACCGATTTCAGATCTTCCAACAGTGTGTCATTATGTTTAATAGTAACAGATAGGTGAAATTTAAAGAAGAAAAATGGAAAGGGGAAGCCAGCACCGAGAACAAAAGAGACGACAATTTTATTGTGGATACATCATGATCCATCCGCAATAGAAGGGGATTTCTATCACAACATGTACCACACTGTTAAATTTGTTTATATTTCTCACGATGGTATTATTTGTGAATTACTGCAATTCCAGTCTCAATGCATAATATGGCACGAACCATTTACAGTTAAATACTTTTTAGATAGTATTGACATCAAGCCACCATGAAAATTTGTTTTTTAGATATAACAAATCTATTCACGAAGCAGTAGTTGTCACTTCAATTCTAAAGTACCTGTTAAACTATTCGAAGCCATATTTACCTTCCAAATTTAAGTTTTTCTTTCAATTTTTTCGATGATTTGATGTCATATTCCTTAACATGGATTATCAACCGATTTTAAATTCTTTCTTGTTGATCGGCCGTTGAGATAAAAATGGTAAATGTGTAATAAAATGCATCAACTCTATCACAGTGACCGAATCCTTCACTCCAAGCAACATGATATTTATAGAAACCTTCCTATTGTCATCGCAAATACATAATGATGTGATTCCATAATGCAGTTTCCCAGAGGGATAAAATGTGGAAAATCACCATTCTCTAATTATTCAACAGATGATGAAAATATCTGCAAAGAGACCATTACATCATTTGAAATGGTTAGTAGTTGACCTCCTGTGTCATTGAACGTATAAATAATACGAGGTCCGTGGGCTAACGACGGTATCCGTTTCAATCGTCTGGAAAGCCAGAGCGCTGCGGACGACCATTACCATGATTATTATTTTCTCAGGGAATTTCCATAATTGCTGGTGTTGCTAAAATAACCCTTAGGTCTAGACATAGAAAAAAAACAGGCAGTAAGCTGATAAAAAAGTGCATTGCAACTCGCTAACCCCGAAATGTGAAGTCAGGGCCACCATCAGCCATTTCTCGGACATTCGATAAATTGCCTAACACCACAGGGGACATAACGTTGGTTTCTGATTTTTGTTTTGTTTTTAAGGTATCAAAAACTGTTCATTTTATGTGTTTCGTTGTTTTTCTCTACTTTCCGTTCGCCTTTCTCACTGTTCTAGTAATGCGTCATGGTAGACATTTCCCCTACTTCTGGTAAATGTATCTATCGTTCATGACGCTCTTTCTCATGATGAACGTATTTAGGTGGCAAGTATGAATTTTCCAGTCGACGTTATACATAGCTATATGTTTACTGTCGTTGATATTAATATTGATTTAAAAAATGTTTTTTAACCATTTCTTTTTGAATCACTGACCTACAAACTATATGTATAAGTCATTAAGTCACAGTAGAAAAAGTGTGTATCGTACGTTTGGCATTGGCTACTGAGATCGGTACAATGTACAACACGTTTGTCCGGTTAAATGTTCTTTTTATTCATATATTCGTATTGTTAACTGGTATGTTTTGTGTTTATCTGATGTGCCAGTAACCCAGACGAGAGTATATGGATGGATAAATATTTAACTTGTACACATAAAACAGACAATTGGCCGGAGTAAGGAGCACGCATTGTAATACCTTCACACCTAATATTTATGTCAATCGCACCACTAAGAGGGAGCGCCTCAGCCAAATCATGCAGTTTACGTTCAGAAAAATATTTCACAGAGCACGCAACGTTAAATTATTAAGCTTCATCTATATAGAATGACTGAGTGGCTAGTCATTCATTGTAAAGGGTTAGAGAGACGGTTTAATCGTTAACATTCGAACCTTTATCGCTGTTTGGAAAGCTGTAAAATACCTGTGTTACT